GATCTAGGCTGGCCACGATGCCTCTTTTAGCCACCAGGTATCCTAAAAACTTACCAGATCCAACTCCCAATGCACACTTTGATGCATTGAGTCGGAGCTGATATGTTTTAAGTATTTCAAAGACTGCTTTTAGATCGGCAAGATGACCCTCAGGCTCCTTGGTCTTAACGACCATGTCGTCGATGTAGACTTCTACTGTTTGGCCAATCAGGTGTTTGAACATTTTGGTTACCAGCCTTTGGTAAGTTGCTCCTGCATTTTTTAACCCGAAAGACATTACTCTGTAACAGTATAGGCCTTTTGGGGTGATGAACGCGGTCTTTTCTTCGTCTGGGGGGTACATGGCTATCTGGTGGTACCCCTTGTAGGCGTCTAGGAAGCTCATTCTTCCATGCCCTAAAGTGGCATCTACTAGTTGGTCAATCTTGGGTAGAGGAAAGCTGTCTTTGGGACAGGCTTTGTTGAGGCTGGTGAAGTCTACGCAGACCCTCCATTTACCGTTCTTCTTCTTTACCACCACTGTATTAGATAGCTATGTCGAGTAGTGTACTTCTCTAATGGCCCTGGCCTCTAAAAGTCTATCTACTTCTTCCTCTACTGCTTCAACGTGCATCAATGTCGGTCTTCTAGCTCGTTGAATTACAGGTTTGGCCGACCTGTCAACATTCAATTTGTGGCAAGTGACCTCGGGGTCAATGCCAGGCATTTCGTAAGGTGTCCAAGTGAACACCTCAATATCTGCTCTCAAAAAAGTTTCCAACTCTTTTTCCTCTTCTTCGGCTAAGCCCGAGCCGAGAAAAAAGAAGCATTCTTCATCCCCATCCTGGACGAGGATTTTTTTTAGTGCCTCTTCGCTCTTCTCGGCTGGCTCCTTGCCGACGTTTTCTAGGACTTCCACATCCTCATCTTCAATTTCTGCAAGGGATGAAGGAGTTTGTGGCTGAAATTGCTAGCATGGGGAGGCTAAGGCACATGAACTTGGTATAACTGCTTGGCTACTGTCGGCGAAGGGGAGAGATGCTCTTGGTTTATGATTATATGCCTAATGGAAGCCTTGACAAGTTCCTATGTAGCAACGAAAAATGATACCTCCATTGGGCTCAGTGTTATAGAATCCTCAAAGGAGTAGCATCTGCCCTTGTATATCTACATGAAGAGTGGGAACAACTTGTTTTTCATAGAGATGTGAAGGCTAGCAATGTTCTATTGGATGATCAACTAAATGGGCGACTAGAAGATTTTGGGCTTGCTAGATTATACGATCATGGAGAAAAACCACAAACTACCCATGTGGTTGGCACTATTGGTTTTCTTGCTCCGGAACTTACTAAAACTGGCAAGGCTACTACAAGCACCGATGTCTTTGCTTTTGGTGCATTTTTGCCTGAAGTGGCTTTTGGAAGGATGCCCATAGATCTGCAAGGATTGCTTGAAGAGATGATTTTGGTTGACTGGGTATTTGAAAAATGGAAACAATGAGTTATTCTTGAGACATGTGATCCTATATTGGAAGGTGATTATCTAGCAAATGAAATGGAGTTGGTTTTGAAGCTAGGTTTGCTTTGCTCTTACTCTTATCTAGCAACAAGGCCTAGCATGAAGCAAGTGATGCAATACCTAGATGGAGATACTCTATTTCTAGAGATAATTCTCGAGGGTGCTAGCGTTGACATGCTTGTTGTTAGGTTTTATTCTTGGAAAACCCGTTTGACAAAACTCATTTCAATTATACTTTTATTCGCTCTTTTACTACAGTGAGGCTGTGAGCATTTAGATGTGAATCCAACCCGAATTGTGCCTTGCAGAGAAGTTTCAGAAGTTAATTCTTTCAAGATTGCCACTTGGCTGACTATGATGGGGATCGAGCGAAGAATCCTTGGTCCCAGAAGTTTTCATTACGTGTAAAAATACTGAGAAGTTACTTTTCTTGCTTGAGCAGCACTTTGGTGGCTCGAGTGAAGACCTTGGAAAAACCCACGTTTTAGTCTACTCTCTCGAGCGAGAGATCCTTTGCTCGAGCGAGAATTGCGGGCCTGTTTTCTATAAATATGTGTTTTAGTCATATTTTAAGGTTACAGCTTCCAGATCTTTTTCTTGGATATTAGGGTTTATATTTGGAGTTTCTTTGCTAGTTCCTTTGGTGTTTGTTTGAGTTTAACTCATGATTTGAAAAGTATACATCAAAGGATTGTTTGTTTCGTTCAATACAAAAGAGAGAGTTGTTCTTCGGTGGATTCCGTGGAATTTGAGCCTGAAGCTTTGGTGGATTCTGGAGTGGCTCATCGTCGTGGATTCGACATTGGCATTGTGGATTCAACGTTGGGCAAGACGATTCCGAGGTGAAGACCGTGGTAGAAGAGGCAGATAGGGGTTGGTTCAATTCGAGTGTGGATTCGCTAGGTAATTGAGAGTACACTTGTGTAATTCCTTTATGTCTTTTTAGTGAATTGTTTTGTGGCTTTTGCTCGTGATTTTTTTATCACAATTGGAGGCGCTCCAATTGTAGTTTTTCCACGTAAAATTGTTGTGTCAATTTGTCTTGATTGTTTGATTGGGATTGTTATTTACTCGTTAAAACTGATACATAATCACAAATCAATACCTAGGGGATGTTTAGATTTTTCACTTGTGATGGATAATAAAACATCTACTGAGTTTTTCAAGTCAGTCCCTTCATCATCTGGAAATTATTCTGTTATTCTATATCTAGCAGTGATTCCATCCTTTGTAGTGGTCGTTGAATTGGAAAAGATTAATGCTTGGATATGTTAGGCCTTTTTTTTTTTTTTTGAAGCGTCAGCTATATAGTTATAATGGAAACCACCTTTGTAAATGAAGAAAAGGCTGTGTATATATTACCCTTCTCAGACTTTATTTAATGGAAGTCTCGTGTATTGAGTCTCCATTTTTTCAATAATCTATATATTGGTATTAAGAATTAATGAAAGATTAAAGGGTTTTCGTAGCATTTCGTTTGTGATCCTAGACTTTGCTTTTAACAATCCCATAGATTCCTCACATGAGATAGAAAGATTGCAAATATTTTTATCATGCATCAATCATACAATATTATTAGCTATAATTCCCTCTATAAGCATGTCTGTTAAACAATGTTGAACTCAACTATATATAAACCATGCAAGGTAACCATTCTTCATCTTGTTTTCACAACATCAATGTAAACTATGCCTCTCTTGGAGTATTACTTTCAAATTTTTGTAGCAAGTTGATTTAGTTTAATCTTTGTTAACTCTTGAATATTGATAGTGAATTTTGGGCGGCTTTGTGTACCAAGATTTGTGTGATTGCTGCATATACCAATTGGCACATTAAATTGCAATCTATTAAATTAATCTATCATTGGATAATTTTTAATTGGAAATCTATTTGAGAGTTTGGCCTATTCAATCATTCACAATTTCACTTTGTTATGATTTTTGTGATTATTTATGACCAATTTTTTGGCTGGCCAATTCTTTAAGGTGGATCCAATGTAAGGAAATTTGTTTGTGAAATAATTTAGCAAAAAGTAAAAATTACACTAAAAGGGATTGGTCAAGCAAAAAAAATCTGAAAATAAAATTTAAGGTGTTAAATTCAAATCTTTGAAAGGCCTATGAAAATTTATCCAAATGTTGACTTCAGAATATCTGAAAAGTAGTGGTTGGAATATCCTAAAGTGTATCTAATTTTTTCGTTTTCTTGTAGTACTTTTACCTGCCATGTTGAAATGTCTTGAAGACCTTTAATTAAGTCTATAAAATGGACAACTCAACTAACTCAGGCAGTTAATTACTTTCAGTCTTTCATTTAACATATTTCACATTTGTAGTACAATGCCTACTTTCATGCAAAAGTCCCGGATACCTATTTGGTAACTTCAAATAATTAACTGATAACTTGTTTTCAAAGTATTTATTTTGTTTGGTGTAAGATTTCTGTTGGATTCATCTCGTTGTAAATGTCGTTTGGCTTATCTTACCTTAATGAAAATTTCTATTGATAAAAAAAAAAGTATTTTATCTTTTATTATTATTTATTATTTTTATTTTTAAAGTGTTGATTAATTTTTTTTTTTTACACAATGCAATTACCTTTATACTCTCTTATACATTGCAAAAAAAAAAAAAAAACATATTTTGATTTATACTTTAAATTTGTATAAATTACACTTTTTTTTAACTCTTTGATTTAAATTTTTAAATAGTGTAATATTAGTTTGAATAATATTAACTTAAATCTTAATATTGTCATTTCCATTTAAATTAATTATGCTATTAAAAGTGGTTTAAGTTGTATTTAGTAATGAGAAAATGAATCTTATTCAACTTTCCAAAATATCTTTCAGTACAGAGGGATTTATTTACAACTATATGAGTAACTCTCTTAACTAGTTAACTAACTATGGTATAGTTAATACAACAACTTCCCTAACTGTTTAACCACTACAGTTGGAGCGCAACTGCCATAGATGTAAACACGTGTGTCATAATGCAAGACCTACAACAGCTCTAATTGATTTGGTGAGGCTACAACTATAGCTCTGCCTTGGTCAGCTCACATGAGCTTGTGTGAGCTTCTGATGAGGGAAGTTGAGGTTCTTCAGATACATTATCATGCCCCCACAAGCTGATGGGAGAGGAAAGGACCATAAGCTTGGACTATAAGTAATGAAAGCATTGAATAGACAGAGGCTTGGTGAAAATGTTTGCAACCTGATTAGAAGTAGGAATATGACAAATGGTGAGCTGTTTAGCAGCTACCCTTTCTTTGACATAGTGATAATCGACCTCTATGTGTTTGGTTCTGGCATGAAAACCAAGATTGGAAGACAGAGAGATGGAAGAAATATTATCACACCACAATGTAAGGGATTAAGAAGGAATATGCAGGTCAAAGAAAAGCGTACCAAGCCAACTCAACTCAGCAGTAGTTTGAGCCAATGCCCTATACTTAACTTCAGTAGATGATCGAGCCACAGTAGGCTGCTTTTTAGCAGACTAAGACACCAAATTAGGGCCAAGGAAAATACAGAACCCAATAGTGGATCTCTTATCCAGAGAATCACCAGCCCAATTAGAGTCTGAAAAAGCATGAAGTGTAAGAGGACCAAGGCTAAATTGAAGACCATAACCAAGGGTGCCTTTGAGATATCTAAGAAGCCTTTTGACCATAACAAAATGACGAACAAGAGGTTGGTGCATGTATTGGCAAGCAAAATTCACAGCAAAAGCAAGATCTGGTCTGGTGATTGTGAGGTATTGAAGACCTCCAACAATACTTCTGTAGAGAGAAGGATTGGAAAAAGGTAAATCATTATTGTGAGAAGAGGAAGTAGGTTTGAAAGCCATGGGAGAAGAGTATGGCTTGCAGTCAGCCATACCAGCCTTAGCAAGTAACTCAGAAGCATACTTTTGCTAGGACAAGAAATAGCCCATAGAAGAAGATGAAACAGAAATGCCAAGGAAGTAATTAAGTAAGCCAAGCTCCTTCATAGCAAAAGCACCATGCATTTGTAGAACCAAAGTAGCTAGATAAGAGGGATCATTGCCAGTTAACAATACATCATTAACATAAATGAGAAGAATGGTAATGGAGGCTGCAGTCTTCTTGACAAACAATGAGGAGTCACAATGGCTATAGATAAAGCCACAAGATAATAAAAAGGAAGAGAATGTGGAAAACCAGGCTCGGGGAGCCTGTTTGAGACCATAGAGGGCTTTATGTAATTTGCAAACCAATTGAGGATGAGAGGCATCAATAAATCCTTGAGGTTGTTGCATGTATACTTCCTTCTCTAAGACGCCATGCAAGAATGCATTAGATATGTCAAGTTGCCTGATGGACCATTGAAAATGAAGGGCTAAGTACAAAAGGACTCGTACTGTGGGCTGCTTTGCAACAGGACTAAAAGTCTCATGATAGTCAATGCTCTCAGTCTAAAGAAAACCTTTGGCTACTAATCTAGCCTTATATCTAGCAATGGAACCATCAAAATTTTTCTTGAGCCTATAGACCCATTTGCATCCAATAGTAAGTTTGCCTCAAGGTAAAGGCACAAGGGACCAAGTGCCTTGTCTTTGCAAGGCGTGAAACTCATCTAGCATAACTGTTTGCCATTGAGGAGATGTAGCAACAACCTGATAATTGTTAGGTTCAGTAGAAGCAGAAGAAGTTAAAAGACAGGTAGAAGAGAGAGGTCTAGACTTAGACCTGGTGAGTATGGGATGAGTGTTAGAGGTAGAAGGAAGAAAAGGTAAATCAAAAGAAATGAAAGAAATAGGAACAGCTGGAGTAGGACCAGAAGGGTCAACTGGAGTAGGACCAAAAGTGGTAGGCAAGTGAGCTTCTTATGAGGAAGGAAAAACAGTAGGAGGACCAGACATAGCTGGAGTAGAGAAAACAAGACAGACGGCAGGAACAGAGGGGATTGTAGGAGCAGTAACAGAAGTGGAAATTCAATGCAGGTTTGGATAGACTATGATGGAGTGGAGAATCTACTCAATGTAACACTAACTCCTATTAGAAGCCCAAGACCATATCAATCTCTCCTGTCAACACACATAAATCTTTTTACAATTTTCTTGAATTCTATGTATGTTGGTTTCTCTTCCACTACTGGAGCAGTTCCAGGTAACAATTATATACTTGGGTGGAGCTTCAACAAAAGTGGGTAGGCACAGAGCCTAGACCTTTCAAAGCTTCCTTCAATTCCCCTACAAAGAATACCAAGACAAAAAAAAAGTCTAGAACTTATAGTTTTATTGATAGAGGTATCCATTGTGTTGATTGTCACCATAGTTGGGACGATTTACCTTGTGAGGAGGAAAAAATATGAAGAATTATTTGAAGATTGGGAATGGGAGTATGGCCCTCAAAGATTTTCCTATAAGGACCTCTACAAAGCTACCAAAGGTTTCAAAGACCAAGAGTTTCGTGGAGCAGGAGATTTTGGAAATGTTTATAGAGGAGTGCTTCCCTCTTCCAAGGAACAAGTCGCGATAAAAAAAATCTCTCATGATTCAAAACAAGGGGTGAAGGAGTTTGTGGCCGAAATATCTAGCAATGGAAGACTAAGACATAAGAACTTGGTCCAGCTCCTTGGTTATTGCAAGCGAAGGGGAGAGCTTCTCTTGGTCTATGATTATATGCCCAATGGAAGCCTTGACAAGTTCATATTTAGCAATGAAAAATCAACCCTCAATTGGACCCAGCGTTTTCAAATCCTTAGAGGAATAGCATCGGCCCTTCAGTATTTGCATGAAGAATGTGAGCAAGTTGTTCTTCATAGAGATGTGAAGGCTACTAATGTTTTACTAGATGCTGATCTAAATGGATGGCTAGGAGATTTTGGGCTTGCTAGATTGTATGATCGTGGAGCAAACCTAGAAACTACCCATGTGGTGGGCACTTTTGGCTATCTTGCACCTGAGCTTTCTAGAACAGGCAAGGCAACTACAAGCACTGATGTGTTTGCTTTTGGTGCATTCATGCTTGAAGTGGCGTGTGGAAGGAGGCCTATAGAGCCACAAGGGTTGCCTGAAGATATGGTTTTGGTTGATTGGGTTTTTGAGAACTGGAAACGAGGAACTATTCTTTCCACGTGTGATCTTAGATTGGAAGGTGAATTTTCGGAAGATGAAATGAAGTTGATTTTGAATCTAGGTCTACTTTGCTCACACTCCTATGCAGCGGCAAGGCCTAGCATGAAGCAAGTGATGCGATACTTGGATGGGGATGCCTTGTTGCCAGAGATACATCTTGATACTATAGGTATTGGTACACTTAGTGTGGGTAATGAAACATCTGCTGAATTTGTCATGTCATTTCCTTTGTCCGCTGAAGTTGTCTGCTCACACCATGTCTAGCATTGAATTAATACTCAATTGTAGTTATTGATTTTGAAATCTCTATTCCTTGGATATGCTAGAATCATTGTTGTGTTTGAATTTCTATGACACGTATATTGGTAAATTTCTACTGACAGTTTGTTAGAAATAATGATGAGGCTGCAACGTCGCTGCTTTGTAATGGAGAGTTGATGTAGACCAAGTAGTTTCGAGGTATTTGGAGTGTTTGGATCGATGAATGGCAAACTGATGAATAAGGGTTCAGCCCGTTGTTGTCCAATTTGCTGCAAAAGGCATGTTCAATTGCCAATTTAGATCTTTGTTTAGGAATTTTCATTTTTATTGTCATTTGTTTTGACATGTTCATTTAAGTTTTTTGTATTCAAAATTTGTCGTTTTTGGTATTTTTTTTATTTTCCCCAATCATATTAGCAGTCCTTTAGAATGTTGATTCATTGTAAAGATTTGGGACTAACCCTTTTGACCATTAGAATTCTCTTCTTTTGAGCATTTAGCAATTGCTTCTGTTACCCTATTCTTAATCTTATACAGTTGGTTTAGATGAATTAAAACGGGTTATGCATTAAAATAACCCAATTCAAATTCAAATCCACTCGTTTAATAAATGGATTAGGTTAAATTAGATACGAGTTTGATAAATTAATTTGAACAATCCATTGCTTTATGAGGAAGATGTGGTAGTGGCAGTGGCAGTGGCAGCGGCAATAGCAACTGAATGGTGGAGGTAGTGGCAATGGTATGGTAGTGGTAGTAGCGGTGGTGGTGATACTCATTTAAATGGGTACTTATTAAGGGTGTTCAAATTACCTAGTGAACTAAAGAACCGAACCGACCTGAACTCTTTGAGTTGGTTTGGTTTGGTTTTTAGGTGCATTAGTTTGGCTCTAGATTTTCAAATTATCAAATGTTGATTCTTGGTTTAGGTCTTGCTTAAACCGAATACCGAATCAATCCGAGAACCGAACCTATTTATATACTATATATTTTAAAATTTTATTTATATTGAGATGTTTTCACCTTATTGCTCTATTACAAAAGACTTGATTATACTTAATAATTTTTCATATACAAGAATTATTAGTAAACGAAAGAAGTACTAGAAGCTTTAGTCAGATTTCGTAGCTAATTTAATTTGTATTTGTTGTATTAAAAATAAATTTTCTTATGACAAATTTTTATATATGTTGCTAAAAAAAACGAAAGAAGTACTATAAGTCTCGGTTAATTTGTCAGTAAAAATAATTTTTTTGTGACAATTTTTTATATATGTCGCTAAAAATTGACAATTAATGACTTTTTTGTCATGATTTTTATAAATTGTCACTAAAACTTACAATTAGTGACATTTTTTTATGACAAATTTTTCTTATAGGACCTATTAGACAATAAGTCCAGTTATTAGGATCTACACGTAAATACTCCTAGTTTATGCCCTATTCAATGGTTCGCAAGATGCATCAAAATACTCATTATTCTTATTATTTTGAACAAATTATATCCCATAACCAATTTAATTGGTGTTTATTTGTATGATTTAAGTTGTTCAAATTACAAAATTATATTTTTGTCAATCAAATTACAATCGTCTCAAATTAAACCACATGGATAGAAGTTAAAAACTTTTAAGAATTGAATAAACGAAATTAATAGTTAAGGAATGAAATACAAAATGGATAAATTATATACTTTTGTATACTTGTAGTTTAACTTAAATTTTACTTTGGTCTCTATTATTTTAATTTAAATAATTTAATCCTTACATTTCAAGTCTAGTTTCTATTCAATCCTTCTGTCCAAATTTCTATTAATGTTTTTTTTTTTGTGTGCATGGTACACCTTGGGAGATTGATAAGTATTCAAAATTAGTTAACTTTAACCTCTAACTTGACCAAAATGTTCAAATTAAAACTAAACTTAAATCATAGGAATCAAATTATTCAATTTGAAATAATACAGACTAACATGTTAAGTGTATAACCAACCTTCCTCCTCCAAAATACACAATTAATATATATTAATTGAGCGTTGTTTTGCACAGGAATTAAAAGTATAATTTATTTACGCATAGAAAATTTTGTAATGATTTAAGGAATAAGAGTGAAATTAAATCAACAATTAATTTATTTTCTCTCCTCAATTCTGTTACATTTCATTTGAAAAATGAAAAAAAAAAAATTGATTAGAATTTTGTATGTGATAAAAAAAAATGATGTAATTCCTCACTTTCTTATTTGAATGAACTAGTGGTAACCCGTGTCATGCACAGGATATAAAAAAGTTAATAATATATTTTTATACAAAATAATATAAATAGTTAAATTTTTGTATGCAAATTATGAAAACAAAGAAGATTGAAATTTACAATTTAAATCTCACAATTTTATCACAATTTTATCACAATTTATTTATTATTTTTTTAATTTGTCACAAATTTAATCATGTAACTTTCAACCTCCCTTTCTAAAATTGTAAATTTAGGTGGGCTCAACCCAAGCAATTTGAGTCGAGCTTAAATTTTTTTTAACGATTGAACTATATAGTTTTTAATTAAGTGAAGATCTATGTAGAAATTCAAAATTTCAAATTAAATTGAAGTGGACTTGGGTAGAAACACCAATTAATAACTTGAGCGACCAAAACAAAATTATATATATAAATATATAAATTATTTGCTAATTTATTTTTTTAAATAGTAAATAAAATTAAATAAAAATTTAATATTAATGAACAAAAGAAAAAGCAATATACTTAAGATTTTCAATAGAATTTTTCTTGAAAATATTTAAAAAATACACCTTTTAAAAAGGGATCATCAAATAAAGGGTTATTTGAGAAGTGCCATATTACCTCATTTTTTTTTAATATTTTTTTATCTTTTTTAGGCCACATCACATCTCTTTTTTTCTACATATTTTTTCGTAAAAAGCAAAAAATATATTTAATTATTTTTTTGGGTCACTTCACATCTCTATTTTTCTATGCATATTTTTGTAAAAAGTAAAAAAATATACTTATTTAGCACTTCTCAAACTACCACTAAGTTAATATTAAAAAAATTTACTTTTTATAATGGCATAAATAATTTAAATATGATTTTTTAAAATTTGTTTTTAATTTAACAATTACAATAAAATGTTAAATAGAATAAAAACAAATTTCTTACAAAATAAAAGTATTTGAATAAAAAAAGATAAGAAATTTAAAATTTAAATATGGTATTTTTATTTAATCTGAAAATAATTATAGATGAACAATAAATTATCACCTATAACCCTTTTTTTAAAAAAAAAAAATAGAAAAGTTTAACAAACTATCACTTTTAATTAAAAAAAATTAACGTTTCTTTCTAATTTTTTTTTAACAAAACTAACTTTTTAACAATTTGAGCCAAAGATATTCTTATTCTTTATTTTAATTTCTCTAATTGACAATTGAAATTAAATAAAAAATTTAATAAAATCCACCATATTTGGTAAGTACTAAAAAAGTTATGTTTTGTTCTTTTGTTAAAAAAAAAAATTATATTAAAAAATATTATTGTTCAAATCCTTATAATTTAGAAGGATACATATTTTTTTTTTATAAAATTTAAAACTAAAAAAGAAAAAAAAATTAATAGCCATTAACAATTTGAACATGTGTATTTAAAATAAATTATATTTAGACCAATAATATTATGACACATTATTATGACACATGTGAATATTGATCTAATTCTAATTGTAGTAATATATTTTGAAGAAGAATTTAAATTTAAAATTTTATTTTATAATTTAGTAAAAGATGCAAAATTTAAGAAATGAATGTTGATCTCATTCCAATTATAGTAACATAGTTTAAATAAGAATCTAAATTTGAAATTTTCTTTTAGGAATAGAAAATGAATTTATAGACCAATCATATTGTAACACGTATTAACAAAAAACTAAACAAAATATAAAAAAAAAATGAGAAAAAAGAATTACAACTTTCAATTTTAACGAAATGATAATATTTTGCAACTATAATAGTATATAGATATATAGATAAATCATTTATAGACCAATCATATTGTAACACGTATTAACAAAAAACTAAACAAAATATAAAAAAAAAATGAGAAAAAAGAATTACAACTTTCAATTTTAACGAAATGATAATATTTTGCAACTATAATAGTATATAGATAAATCATGTAATATATCATTATTTAAAACTTATATATTATGGGATAAATCATTATAATTTTTTTGCTTGAATGAGAGTTATAGAAGATTTTTTTAATTATTTAAAATAAAAAAATTAGAAACTTTAGTTTAAGATATTGAAACTCCCACAAGACTTGTGGTTAGAAACCCTTTTTTACTTATATAATATATATATATATATATATATAAATAGATTTAATAAGAATTTATATTTGTTTTAGATATTTTTAATATATAAATTATTTTTTTAAAGATTTTTTTATAAAAATAATTTAACAATCCCATCACTAGCCATAGTGTATGGGAGAAGTTGAAAATGGTGTAGGAGTAGGTATGGGAGAAATTAATAAATGCTGAGTTATTTTTTTTTTTAAATAAAAAATTTAGAAAATTAAAATTGAGATATTAGAATTTTCACAAGGCTTGTAAGTTAAAAATCTCTTTTTTCTTATATAATATATAAATAGATAGATAGATTAGTAATTTTAATTTCTGAACAATGGAAAACAAAACATGAATGGGGTGTTTTACTAGATGCTGATCTAAATGGACGGCTAGGAGATTTTGGGCTTGCTAGATTGTATGATCTTGGAGCAAACCTAGAAACTACCCATGTGGTGGGCACTTTGGCTATCTTGCACCTGAGCTTTCTAGAACAGGCAAGGCAACTACAAGCACTGATGTGTTTGCTTTTGGTGCATTCATGCTCGAAGTGGCATGTGGAAGAAGATATGGTTTTGGTTGATTGGGTTTTTGAGAACTGGAAACGAGGAACTATTCTTTCCACGTGTGATCCTAGATTGGAAGGTGAGTTTTCGGAAGATGAAATGAAGTTGATTTTGAATCCAGGTCTGCTTTGCTCACACTCCAATGCAGCAGCAAGGCCTAGCATGAGGCAAGCGATGCGATACTTGGATGGAGATGCCCTGTTGCCAGAGATACATCTTGATACTACAGGTATTGGTACACTTAGTGTGGGTAATGAAGCA